TTTATGTTTTGTTGATGGCATTTCGGGTCGTATGTATGTTGACAGACCTTAATTCACTTTTCATTTCCTTGTTGCGGGTTTCTGTTTTTCACATCGCAGTGATGATCAGACATTGATTAGATCCTATTCCAACTTAGGGAGTCCAAAAAAAAAAAAAAAAAAAAAAAAAAAAGGGAGTCCTCACTGCCTGACACTCTTCTTTTTGGTCTTTGGGATGCTGGAATTTGGGCCAGGCATCATGTGTAATGCTGCTGTTTTGCTTCTGGTCATGACGAAGAAAGCCAATGTGGTGTCGAAGGGGAGGCTCGTCAGCAGAACAACGCCAGCAACCGTGGGTCATCGCAGAGGTCTGAGGACAAGGAACTGGAAGGGAGGAGGGAGTAACGGATGATTGATCGGCAGTTTGGTAGAGAACGCAAAGGTCGAACAGAGGTGGGCATAGCTGGAGGTCGGTCGGCAGTGATGTGGGTGGGTGTCTCAGGCTTGTGCTCAACTGTGGAGGTGAGGTTCTGTCAGACAGTGATTCGCCTTCGAGTTATCGGTTCAATTAGGCATTTACTGTCTTTACCTGGTGTGCATTTCCCAAGGTATAGTATAAGCATGTATGCTATTGTATGCATGCATCCTTCGCACATTTAATTTCCCTCGTCTACCATCCGACCGAATAACTTGAGGGTGCAACTTTTGAAGTTTTGAAGTAGCCACATTTAGACAGGTGAGTGCTATCTCTGGCTCAACAGGAAGATTTTGATACCTGTTGGCAGGGATGGCATGACCTGCCCATTGATTGGCTTACCCACTTACTGACATTGTATATTTCTGATCTATCCGCCTCTGGGCCTTGCAGGCTGACTAGTAGAGAGCGGCTGTGTTGTCTGCGCTAAGCCGTAACCATTGTTTTTTTAGGATAGCAAGCGGAGGAACCGGTTAGGTCAAGCGGACGGGCTGGGTCGTGCAATGGGGACGAGAAGAAAACGTCAACTATGATCGCATGCAGATGGTCATGGTTCCGCCACCCGCTATGATCTTGCTACCCTAGGCTTCGCACTCTCACCTACACTGCTGTGTTCTCTCCACACCTCGTTAGCCAAAACACCGAGGTTTTCCATTTCTCTCTCTCTGTCCCAATCTGTCTCCTTGCCTATCTTCCTGCCTGTCCATCTCTCTCTCTCTCTCTCTCTCTCTCTCTCTCTCTCTCTCTCTCTCTCTCTCTCTCTCTCTCTCT